TATAAAAATCAAGTTTATGCTGTCGTGTAGATGTGTGTTTTTCACAGATTTTTGTGGTCTTGGTATGTAGTGATGCTATAGGAAGCCACCCAGTCTCCATAGAGTGCTTCAGAATATGTAATTTTATAAGACTAACATTGCTCATAATGTAAATAACAGCACCGCGAATTACAAATCTATATTTTCGTTTTAGTTTAATAATTTGTTAATAACTTTAGCGAGGCAGGCGATACATTACAAACTTTTATAAATTTGTTTTTTATATAGTAGATAAAATTATTAAGAAAAATAAGACACACAATTATTAAACAATTTCCATTGGCGTTCCTGTGCAGATGACAATATTTGTATGAAGTATTCGTCACAAGCTCTTTACCTCATCCAATCGTTTTAGTAGTAGAAAAAAAATGTTTATTGCCAGTCGGTTTCGTTCTGGTTTTTAACTTTTTCGGTGGAACGAAGATAACGACAGATGATGGGGTGAATACTGATTTCCGAATGAAGAACGATGCATATGATAGATCAAAAAATTGATTTGAACAGTCATCGTTTATTTTGAGGCAATGCCAGACGAGCTTAGAAATTATGTAGGCTTGTATCATGTGGGACGGGGGCTACACTATTATTTACCTTTCACTTTTTCGTTTTAACAGATCCTGTAATCTATATTTTACGTATGTACTTAAAACCTGATGCTGATGGCAAGTATCACGAAATGATTCGATCATTCGATTAATGTTAATAATATTGCTGCCCGTGTTAAAATCAGAGGACGGACAAACAGATGGGCTCAGCTCAGGAATATGATTCTTAATAAGAAATTAACAAACTGACCGCGTTCACACAAATGCCATAGAATTGAAGGAAGGAATTGCAATACATAAGCCGCAAAGGGGGTTCATTTACCCTTGTGATCTATTCAGATAATTGTCAATCATGTACAAAAATATGTTAATGTAACATAATATGACATGACATGACACGACATAACATGACAAGACTAAATATCTAACCAAATATATCTAGGGTGCGAGGTTTGTTTTGAAAACTTTATAGTTGCTCAGCTTGTCACGAAGTTTAATATTTTTATACAGTAATAGGGCCCATTACATTTCTCCCTATTGGACACTCTGATTCTCTAAAGGTTTGAAACAGTGGATAATTATGCGATTGGTGTGTTGTATAATGGCCATATTTTCTACACACGATAGTCGAAACCATTAAAATAAGCAAGTTAGGCAATGTGTGCAGCGCGAACAAATTATTGGGGTTTGGCCAGAGTTTCACTTTTGGTCCCTGCAAATAGCCAGAGACAGTTATTTTGAGACCGATGACTTTTCTAACCCTGGTCTTTAGAACCCACGCCCCTACCAGCAGTTCCAAAACCCTGATTCTTCCTTGAGATAAAAGTAGGTAGTTCTCATAAATTTATTATATTCACAAATTTAATAGTATTGCAAGAGTTATACAGCAGTGGAACTTGAATTATCAGGCTCAAAACAAAGGTGATTTGGTTTTTTAATTTACTGCATCAGTTATGTGGGCTAATAATTCAGCTGTAAAAGCTAAAAGAGCTCTAAAATTCTAATTCTTTGCGATACAACAAAGAGGATACAAACAATGAAAGTATTTGCTATGTAACCAGCAAAGAAATGTGAACGAAATGAGCTCGAGAAAATATTTATGAACTTGTGTAAAGATTTTATTGAAATTGTTCATATTAGGCATAAATGGAAACTGAAATGGCTCGACACTTTTTCGGTTGACCCTCTCTCGACTTTTCCGACTCATTTCATGTTAAATTGAAAATGGCTGTCTTTTGTGTTGTTAGAATTATGTCTGTGCTACTTTTATTTAATGTTTCGAATATTCGAATATTCTCCTCGGCACTTTGTTCTCAAATCCCTTCCTTTCCAAGAGTTTAATACCAAGTTTCGTACTTGTGTGAAATAAAATTTGCTACGAACAATTCAATTTCCTTTCTTCAAGGTACTTGTGATTGTATCTTGGTATTGGTTGCACTTGCTAATGTAAGTTGTCACCCCGTGAAATTGTACAGGCTGTAGCACGATAGTCATCAACGTTGTAAACACGGCTAACTGCAGAGGTGATTGTCACGTTCCTCTTGGTCGTGTGCGCAGTGTCACGGATTCTGTCTGCTTCCGCTGCAAGAACCATGTCATTTCCGCCTAACCGTGATATATGCCTGAAACATTTTTTGCCTGGCTGGTTGGCACTCCTGCTTCGTATTCAGCGTACCCGAGTTTGATTCTCAGCTGGAGCCCATCTGCTTTTACTAAGGTTTTAAGTTCGTTCTCATTGCCTCCAGAAAAATGAGACGATAATACCTTAAATAGGCCACGAACAGTTTTAAGTATTTCTGGAGTTTTGTCTCATTTGACGCCATGAAATAAAAAACATTGTTAAAAAACGGCACTTTTTTCGTACTACTATCGATTATTTCCTTAAATAAACAGTTGATATTTGTAATGGAAAAGTGTTGTTTTCTTTTAGGTACAGACTGAATGTTTAAAGGTTTCAAACGGTTTAAAATGGTTAATACTTACTGGAAATAGGATTTAAAATTATAAAAGTACTCACAAACCATTACGCTACTGCTATCAACTACAGTGGTCACTTTACGTCAAATGAAATGAGGTAAATGTAAAATTGTTCCAGGCGCTTAATTAAGTACAAAACCATTCAGATATGGGGAGTGAAGTTTTGCTTCGCGTGTTCTTAATCTCGGCAGTAGGTGGAGGCCATTGGTAGGTTTTACGCCCTAGCCATTTTACTCCAGAAAGAAGAACCCCATTTTATCCGTCGGATAAGAAGCTGTGTCGGTCCCAGGGTTAGTCTTGGCCTTGTGGGGAAATGAAAAATCCTGCATTTCGAGAAATGGACTACAGTCGTTCATCTTGTAACGTACTCATGAAACTGACTGAGGTATTCTAGCCCACATACGACGTGAGATGGTTAAAAACGGTGTGATGAAGAGGAGAGGATGAGAAAGGAAATGATTGTGGCCTATTAAAAGACTCTCTTCCACGAAATACGAAAACTATGAAACAGCTAAAATCAGAGCAACCAATGAAAAGTTTAGATTACAATCTGTATCCTCTTTAATACGAGAGAGAGACGGTGAGTTATGCTTCTTTTAAACAAGCACGTCGGCCAGCATAATGTTTAATAACACTGCAAGTGGTTCAGTGAAATTATAAAATGTTTGTGTAACGTGCTGTGAAACACTGGAGTATGCTATCCAGCGTTAGAATGGAGTGACCGACGAAAACCACAAAATATTTTTATCATGATCATTTCTGAGACGAGATTTAAACTGTGTAGTTGCATCTCGAATGCCAATCAGATGCCTGATCGCTGTATTAGCCAGCTTCGTTCTGGTGAAGTGGTTGCACGACTTGAAGGTGTATAGAGGTCATGGATGTAAAGCTCCATGCGCTTGTTTTTGCACAAATTTTATAAAATGAACGCTAATCTCTGTTCACATGCATGTCATTCCAGATGATTTATGCCCGAAATAACATAAAGGATTTCTGTTAAATTTAACAAGGTGGGGAATTACAATGAAAGTTTTCAGGAAAATTTTAATTTTCCTTAGTATCCGTTTAATGTGACACTTTTGTTTGGAGCTCAGTTTGAACTTATTTTTTGCAGAAACTTACAGAAAACTTTTGGCTTTGTCTGTTGGAGATGAACTGCGTCGAATGTTGAAAATTGTCCAACGATTTGGAGAACATTGCAGTTGTAGTGCCAACCGTAGGAAGTGAGAACGTGAGAGACGTTTTGTGAGTGTATTTTGCAATAATAATGAAATTATTTTAGCCATATTGAATCTTTTGACAATTTATTTCATACGGCTGCATCTTGATGTCCTTTTCCTTATTATTGTATTTAAAGCCAAAATTAGTTGTCCTTCCACCTTTGATTCTGTGAGTCTACGTATACGCACTGGATTCTACAGTTATGGTTAATCACAATTTCAAGGCCAGTCCCTCGGCTGCATGTGTTTCTGCTGTCAGTGCTGTTTGCAAGGACATTGACATTTATAACAAGGATTGTATTTTGCTAAGGGATATTTTATAATATTGCTTGCGCTTAGATTTATTTTCTTCTTCCAAATTCTGTGGGTTTCATTTTGTTTACATAACAGAGCTTTCTTTTTGTTTTTTATTTATGTCATTTCTTGATCTTTGTGTCATTTCGGTATTATATTGTTTGTTTTTGTACTGTTGGTTTTAGTGCTTTGATATAATTGGCCTTGTTTGGCTGTTACCATGCTCAGGAGTAAATTGATTGAAATGAATTGTCAGTGTGTGTCGGGACTTCCGAAGTTCAATCCTAGCAGCAGTAAAACTGACGTCTTGACCAGTTCTGGGGACCACTCACCTTGTATTCAAATGGTACAAATTGTTATTTTGGTGGATATAAAGCAGCAAGGGCATGAAGGTAGCTATTCGCTTCCTCATAATAACCGAAGTCTGGAATCCGTGGAGCTTAATTTCCATGTTCTCAGCAAGCCTTCAGGGTTGCTTATGCACAAGAGCGACCCTCCTTAAACATTTTGTTATAAATTGTTTTTATTTGAACATCCCCTTAAAAGCTGCGAACGGAATTCTTATGAATGATGACAATCGAGAAGGATCACGTTGAAGGTCAAGCTGTGAAGAAGAATGTGTTATTTTAAATACGTTCGGGCTTACCGTAAACAAAGAAAAGTGTGCTACCTACTTCGGTAAATTTTTTGAAGTTCTGAAAAAGCAGAATAACATTAGATTCCATATTGTGTCTACAAAAGTTCATCGAGAAAGTCACGAAGTGTCGGGAGCGGTTAGATGTTTCGTTTTATCATTGTCGATGGACAATGGAAGCCTTTATATTGTTGATATCATCAAAGCCAATTAGAGCAGAATGTTTTTGCCCCTAGAATAGGAACGAACTTTGTAACAGCGTTGCGGAATGCCTCCGAATGAATGACTTACCTCTGCTGCTGGAAGGGAGTGATGTACTCTGTCTTTCTCACAAGCACGGCGCTGCTGTCTCTTCCCGCCAAACTTTACAGCGCATGCACTGGTCTTCCAATCGCACGACAATCGACCAGGAACCGAAAATCTATGCCGTGAAATTTATGAATCGTGAATCATTTGTCAGTTAGTTATCACACTTTACTGCTCACTATTAAACGCGTACTTTATTAAATGTTTTTATCTCCACACATATGCGTTGGATTTGTTTACAACAGAACTGACTGTGCATGTTTTAAATCTGCAATTTTGGTTTTTGAAATATTTGGCATTCTTCTTGTATGTAGTTCGCAAATTATTCATACGTGCTGTGTCCTGTTTGTTCGAAAGCTGATCACGGAACAGCCGAGTTCTGAAGAAAAAAAAACTTTTTTGAGATACCACCACTTTTCCTTAATAACGTCCTTCTTGATTCAGACATCAAAGGGGAAACAGTATTTTCGTTTCACTTGCAGAATCACTAAACTTTACACGTGTTAAGGAATGCAGTTTTATGAAAACTGGCGTTAATTCCATTATTTATTTTTCGTATAGTTTATGCATTTATATTTTGATACGACAGAAAATATTTTAAAAACTCACAGATGAGCTTCATAGTGCATAAAGTCACTCTCTGAAAAAAGTTGACTGACACCAGTTAATTATGACGCTGCGACTAATTGTTGTCTTTGTTTCGGTAGCATCGAGGTAGAGCAGGTCTCTCGGAATCCAGTCAGTGCGTAGCTACATAGTAATTGCCTGCCTCTTTCTTCGCATGCTGCCTCTATACAGGTCACTACCACTACTACTTCTACCCAGCCAACTAAATGCATCACAACGGACCATGTACTAAACTCAGTCTGAGTAGTACAGCTAACTTATAAAACGACGTAACGAAAATGTTCTTATTCTCCATGACGACGACAATGAGGAAAAAAGGGAACGTCTTGTAATAGCAGTGGCTACGACGGAAAACAAACTCCGCCCAATTTCGTCTACGTCACTGCTACGTCATTATTTGTAAGCTTGACGGCAGTGGACTGGTATCATACCGTGGAGGGGATCCAAAGGTGCAGCTTGTTATGTACTTTCATTTCCAGGTTGTCTTTATTGCTGTGAGCTTTATCGTGAGCTCTGTCTTTCGTTCGAATTTCTCCACCTTCGCGGTCGATTGGTTTGCTTTCCTGCTTGGTCTTCGGGAAGTAGCGGGTTCAAACCTCGGTTTGGAAACCTGCTACTCTAACGTTCTTTGTTGTATTGCTCAGTTGCTCCAGACAAATGCTTCTGTTCCTTAAAATAGCCTACAGCCGCTTCCTTTAACACACTTCTAATTATTTTTTTTAAAAAAATCATCCTGCCACTGAACTCACAGACGCAACTTAAAAAGCGTTTTTTTTCAGACATCAGTACCCATAAAGGGCCCTTTCACACGTGGCTCATATGAGCGGCTCACATGAGCTGAAGCGACCGCTGGGGATAGAAATCCTAGCAAAATGCTTTGGACCCTTTCAGACGAGAGCCACTATGCAGCTCTCCACGTTAGTAGCGGCTACTGGCGGGGAGCATTTTATCTGCTTTAAGATGAAACCATAAGACAGGAGAACTAATAGTCCCCTTAGCCATTACAAATACAGTAGTGAAAAGAAACGTTACAATTCTGTAAGTGGGAATCGAATTGTGTCCGCTTATTCTGTGGTCACTTGTTTCACTGAGTCATCACTGCTCGCTGTAAGGACTGACGAAAACTAGAAAATTTCTCAAGAAGATTAAAGGTCCCTTGATTCTGTCCGAAAGCTTTCTGAATGCCGTCAGAATTTCGCTTAAAGAGTGGACTTACAATATCAAAACATATTATGCATTCCATTTAAAATACGAGCTAATGCATCAGAATTCTATAAACACGCCTAATTTAGCTGGCGAAGTTTAGTGTTGTAAATATTGTAGGCAATTAGAACAACGGAGCAGAGGTATTATTGAGAAATCGATAGTTAAGTACCTTATCAAAAATATTTGCTTTTTTAAAACCAAAGGTATGTTTGGAAAAGCCCCACTGGAATAATTCCAGCGTCAGTTTGATATAGTTAACACACTCGCACTCTATTTGTAAAAAAAACCCATTTAATATCATCCTCCAATCAACATTCCCATGCCTACCTACCTACCTACCAATCACAATCCTCCTTTATTTCAGCACAGAAAGTCCAAATTACGAGGCTTCTCATTATGCTATATTTCCATATTCTTGTCATTTCGTGTCATACATGCACATATTCTCCTTAGCTCTTTGCTATTAACACTCTCAGAACACCTGCATCAGTTAGCTAATATGTGACTAACAAAGTACAAAACTACACAGAAGGTACATTATTCGTATTGCTGGAGACATCAACGGGTGTATAAGACACAACCATAAATTTGTATGAATATTCTGATATAGCCAAATTTTCTCCCGAATTCGACTTATCCGTCCTTTACCAAACGGATCATGATCAATACAAATCCAACAAAAGTGCCAACCTGCAATGGTTATCTTTGAATACATACGGAAATTTAAGTCTCCTCGTGGCGGAAACAAGAAACAAATACAAAACTTATTTTCAAACATAAAGGGAAGAGACCATTCGGAAGACTTTAATATAAATGGGAGAGTAATATTAAAATGGCTGTTAGAAAGTAGTTTGTGACGATGCAAACTAAATTGTCCCCAACGTCCGTTTTAAAGTCTGGAAAACCACGTGAACAATAGTCACTTGTGTCATAGAGATATTTTAGGTAGTTTGATTCTTGCGCCATACA